GGGGGGGGGGGGCAACTAACACGGTGGCGGGGTTGTGGAACGGACGGACGGCAGGCGATGGAGGAGTCTAAGCGTTCAGTATGTAACATCTAGGTGGGCCGGGAGTGGGGGTCGGGGACCGGGACGAAAATGGTCGTGGAAGTAGATATAGACAACCTGCAGAGCGTATTTTCGTACTCCAAGCGGGGCAGTCGGCGTAGCCAACACTTGCACTCCTTCTCCCTGACGCTGACGTCACCACCGCAAGAAAAACTTGTACTCGAAGCCGAACCTTCAGTTTACGAAACACATTCACTCACGTGGCTGCCGGACCAATCTGTTGCGGCGAAACACATCAATACCAGCATCAACCTCGAACCATCGTCAACAAAGATGTCTGCGGTAGTACCCGCGCGCACCCCCGAAATCCTTCCACCACCACCTCACCCACCTCCTCAACGTCCACGAAACCGCCGGGGACGGCGTTCATACCCCTCTCCAGCACCTCCGCCGTGCGCTTCGCCACCCAGGCGTGGCTGTCGAGCTGCTGTCGCCACATCAAGAGGTACCCCTGCACCGGCTTGTACCATACTAGCAGGTGCAGGAGGGTTGCTCGATCCGCCATGATGTCCACCTCAAGCATCCTGTTGTTGTTGGTGTCGTCGCGGTCGTGGTTGTTTCGTGCGATGAAGAAAAATTGTTGGCCTATGCGACCCAACACCAACTTCTCTTTTCATGCTGGCCGAACCTGCATGAGACACCTCCAGAAGTCACAGGCTAACGAAGCAATCACGAGGAAATATATCATCCCCCGTAAACAAGTTTAATGCCTTCCCACCTCTCATGTTAAACCAAACACGCCTCAAGGGGAAAAGACAGAAGGGTATTTGACGATGGGCAGGGCGGGGGACGGTGACGTGTTCTATGCATACCCACGCGCCCATGCATCGATGTCGGGAGGCACCCGTATACGTTTTGCATTCTTGGCGGGTTGCGGAGTCTGCCTCTGGAAAAACTCCAATCAACACATGCTGCCATAACAAATCCACGGATACTCAGTTCCTCAAAGCGTCATCTTCATTCCTCGGCACGCACCGGAAGGCGACGTAGTCGTAGTGGGCCGTGTTGGTGGCCTGGTTGACCTCCTTGATGATCGACACCTGAAGGAAGGGCGTCTCTTGCTGCGTTTGGCTACCCTTGCCGCTGTCGGAGGAGGACTCCTCTTCCTTCCTGCTGCCCACGAGGACCGGGTAGACGCCGTCGGAGAGGTAGTTATCTACCTGCGGAAACCGACGACGGGGGGAGAGTCAGCACAACTGTGGCCTGTAACGGTTAGATGTGGAGTGGACTTTTTAATACCGTGTTCTGCGATTCAGCAGCAGCAGCAGGCGTTTGAATGCCCATATGGGGGGTCCAGCTTCCAACCTCAACAATTGAACGCCTAAAGAAACAAAGAAAACGAAAAAGTTAAGACGGCGACCTTTTTAATCCTGGTTGGTTGTCAGTGAGGCCCGCTATATGCAACAGCTACATTCGCTACCTGCCGAAGTAACATCGGTACATAAGACTGTTTCGCGAAGCTTTGAGGTCTGTGGAAGTAAGAATTTTCAAGTCCAACAACCCACGATGCACACAATTGTTGGCCATCGCCCTGCTGCTGCGTGGATAAACGTGTCGCGGTCTGCTGTGGGGACCACGTACCTGGAGAGAGCCGATCGACGCTTGCACAGACGACAGCCTGTCTCGCGACAGCTTCGCCCAGACGTCGGAAATCTGAGCCAAAACAGAGGGCATCGTAACGCATACGAAAATGAGTGGGTGCAGGACGAACGCCACACGGAATGCGGTAGCAAGAGAAGACCCAGCACCCTACGAACAAGGGGGTACCATAGCCGTCAACAGCTCGCATCTTGCCGCAGGGACGGGAAGCGGGTATGTGTAAATGGTGGCTAGGGTTTGCGTTTGAAGGCCGGAAGAGAGAAGGTGGTAACGCGCAGGAGAATAGGGGCACGCACCAAGTGCATACCATGTCACCCCGTGCTTTTTGTTCGTTGATCCCGAAGTAGGGGTGTGTCTGGAAAATATGATCAACAATATACTTCCATAAAAGAAAACAACACCACTGCCGTCACACCTGCGCGTAAATCAGCTCTTGGCGGCGACCGTTGACCGGTCCGATCAGGCTCAACCCGAACCCTCGCATGTCGACGGCAAGCTCCAGCGCCGGCGCCTCGCTCTCGCGCTTGCGCTTATTCGCGGCCTCCTTTTCGAGGTTTTGGTCCGGCTGCTTCCCGTCGCCTTCACCGTTACCACCCCCTTTCCTGGCCCCGCTACCGTGGGGAGGCCTTGGCGAAATGTGGACGACCTTGGTGGCGCCCTTGACGACAATACTCGCCCAGACAAAGGGCGGGCCCGTTACACCAGTGCTTGCGCTACGGCCAGAAGCGGCGCCGCCGGAGGCGGCGGCGGCAGAGCCGGAGGCACCCCTGGTGAGGCCGGTGGGGATCTTGGCGTAGTTGCCGACGGTGTCGGTGCTCAGCTCGACGGCGCGAGTTCCTCTACCCGCGGAGATGAGCAGAGAGCGCGGCGAGGCTGGGTAGGCCCACCCTATCTGGCGCCTCTGTCCCGACGGGAGCTTCCACATGGCCTTCTCGCTCAGGATCTGCCGCTGCTCGCGGTCGGCGCCGGCCTGGTGGAGACGCACGGCGACTGGGCTCGCGTTGCGGGCGGAGTAGATGGGGGCGAACCGCGCGTTGGCCTTCCAGAAAACTACGAGCACAGCGTACTCGTCGACGAAGGTCTTGTCGGCGAGCTGCACGTCCATGTGCACCACCGTCTGCTCTCCGTCGAGCTTGTCGAGTCGCGTCGGCCCTCCGCCTTTGCCTCCGCCACTCCCGCTTGTCCCGCCGCTGCTGGACCCGCCAAACGTCTCCGGCATCTTCATCGGGGGCCCGCCGGCTTGTCCCCTGTACTGTCCGTCGAGATCCTCATCCTCACCGAAGAAAGGGATGTGTAGGGCCGTAGTGCCGACGCGGTTCATGACCACGTCGCCGTAGCTCCAGGCCGTGCCCTCCGTTCGAACCCTTACGCCGGACTGCTTGTTCTTCCCCAGCATCCAGTGCCACGGGAGCCGTCCGCCAGGCGGGATGCAGACGGCGCTGGCCTCCGGCGCCCCGGCTTCCTTGAGCCAGATATTCTCTTCCCTTAGAAGGTTGACCACGCAGTAGCGGGGGATCACGGTGACCTGGGTGGTGCGGCGGAAAGTGCCTGGACACACCTCCGCCCGGAGCGCTAGCTCGAAAATCTCTCCCTGGGTGCCCTTGACATGGAACACTCCGTTTGCGCCGCCGGGAACATCGAGCTCGTCCGACCACGCGTCCCGCGTGAAGCTTCCGAAACCGTCGTCACCATAGCCTCCGCCCTCGCCGTCGATGCCGCGCCCCGCGCCTTCAGGCACCGCCACCCGCACCCGCTCCTCCGGAGAGTTGCAGAGCGCGAGGCCCTCGGTGCCGAGGGTCCACGACTCTAAGAGATCCTCCCGGCTGCTGATCTTGCGATTGATGCCGCTGGAGGCGGATGACCCTGCTGCTGCGACGGCCTCGGTGGAGACGGCTACTTCCTCCTCGGTGACGATTACCAGGTACATGGCGTCTGCCTTGCTAGCCTTGTTCCCGCCGAGGTTGACCCAGGAACCCGCGGGCACGTTGCGGCTCCACACCACCAAGGGACAATCCGCAACCTTACCCTTGCTTGTCTTGTGGGCCATGTGCACGCGCTCGGCAGTAAGGCGGAACCTGGACGTCAGCCAGCGCGGGGGGGACGGGCAACGGCGATCGAACAGCACGTGCACCGTCGAGGCCTCCACCACCCTGAACCTGAGGAAGTGTTGGCTGCCGTTGTTCTTCTCGGAGCAGGCGGTACGGATCATGGTTGCTCCGCGGAACGCGGGCGGCAGCGAGTCCTCTTTGAACACGTACTCGCGGTCGGAGTAGAGGGGGCTACCAACCGTTGCGGTGGCCGCGACACAACCCTTGGCGCTGACACAGGACATTTGTTCCACGAGGGAAACGTGGACATGGAGCGGTGGCTGCACCTCGCCCGTGTCGCCGGCTTCGCTTCCTTCTTCGTCGTGGCCGAATGCCGCTTTACTCCGCACCACCGGCACCGGAAGCCTCCGTTTCTCCGAAACCCCAAACCCGAGCCGAAGACCCGACCGGTCCACGAGCCAGTGGGTGCAGAACACGTTAAGCCGCAGCGCCGGGCATGCTGCCCCAACTCGCGGTTCGAAATTGCACCGGACTTCGAGGTATTCATGCTTGCCTCCACCACCACCGCCGCCATCACTGCCGCGCGAGCACAGAAGCTTGAACGATACGACGCGGTTGGCCCAGCTTCCCGCCCGCAGCTCCTCTCGTGTTGGGGGAAGTAGAGACTCTGCGTTGCTCCACTCGTGGTGCGCGATCTTGATGCCAAACTTGGCGCCGTCGCCGACTTCGAGGGTATGCAGGTAAGCCGTTTCCGCGGTTGGAATCCTGCCCGCTTCCAGCGTCCTCGATCTCGACGAGTGTGCTGGGGCCGTGCCCGATGACGACCCCTCTTTCCCCGCCGCCGACCCCGATGGCAACAATGCGCGGAAGCTCAGGGAGCAAGGGAGGGCATTCACCACGGTAACGGGAGGTAGGATGCTCATGACAACACAGCCTTCTGCCGTGGTCTCGGCGTGCACGACGAGCCTGATGGTGGCCAACGTCGGAGCTCCCTGTCTCTCGCCCGCGCCACCCACCACTTCTCGGCATGACACCCAGTCGTCGCGAGAGGTGTCTACGTTGTTCGCGAGCAGGGGCAGCGGAGCACTCCACTCAAAGGTTCTCTCGTCGTCTTGTGAGTCTTTCTCACCTGTACCGCCTCCAGCGGAGATGGAAGTCAAAACGTCGGAAGATGGTACCGGCCGAAGCTGCAGGTGGCTCGCGTACACCATCTTGACGGGGATGTCCAACGTACACCCGGGAGCGATGGGGCCCAGAGAACGCCTGCCGAGACCCTTGGCGGAAGACGGCGAGCCAGGCGCAGATACACCCCCGTCGCGTTCTTCCTCTTCCGTTTTCCACGCTGAGCACAGAGCCCTCATGTCCAAGGGCACGCCAGTGTTGTTCGTCAGCTGGACTGTGGAGCGGATCGTTGCTTCGAGGCGGCCCTGCGGCGTGACGTCAACTGCCCAGGCGAGGTACAGCGGGCGGAACGAGTCATCCATGGGGAGAGGCTTGGGCGCGCGGGTGCGAATCCACTTGCGTCTTCGCGCCTGGTCCAGATCTCTCCGGGTGCGGCTGCTGGCGATGAGGTTGAACGACCCGAACTCGACGGCGTACTCCCACCCGGCGGCGTCGATCTCCGTGCCAACCTCCTTGCTGAAGTCCACGTGCCAGTCGTCCCTCCACTCCCACTGCTTCTCGTCGGGTAGAGCGATAGAATCCAGGGGAGTCTCTTGGGAATCATCGCTGGAGTAGGCGTTGCGCCAATCCTTTGACGCGAACTCTGGTCCGTCTCCGGGCAAGTACGGCGCCGACCACCTCCTGGTAATCATGTTAAACCGCTGGTTCTGATACGCCTCCACCACAACGGGGGGCGACACGACGTGGCCAGATGGCACGGAGTTAGTCGGACAGAGCGGAAACACGAACACGCCGGTGCGGTCCACCTGTAGGGGCGGCAAGCCCTCCCTTGCGCTCCGCATGTCCTCGTCTCCCCATTCTACCAACGCCGCCTTCCCGCGAAGGTCGAACTGTCCCGCACGGGCACGATTGCGTTGCGTGTCGAAAGGGAGCCTGACGGTGTCGATGCCCCCCATCCTGAGCGACTTCTGGGGGAAATCTGTGGTGCCGACTGCGAGTTCGAGCCCCGTTCTGTTCCTCAGCGTCACGTTGCCTTCCTTGAGCCCCTCGAGAGGCATAGCACCCTCCGCCCACTCCACTTGCTTCGGTTCGGACAGGTTGGGCGAAGAGAAACTCGACCCCGAAGCTTCTCCCGTTGACAGCCCTTCCACGCCGTTATCTTCATCTTCTCCATCGACGCCGACTTCGGTTCCCTCCGACAAGAGCGCCAGGGGGTCGTCTTTCTCGCCCCCGTCGCTGAAGAGCATCCAGGAAGTGGACAGGAAAGATTCCATGAAGTCTGCCGTAACGTCAAACACCACCACCTCTTCACACGCGAGCTTGATCTGGACGGTCTGTCTCCCCTGGAAGTCCATCCCCACTGCGGCGGTCAGCACCGGCTGCCACGGTTCGCACAGGGGCTCCCATCTCACCACCCTTACGTTGAAGAACGACACTTCTATGACCCCTCCGAGCTCAACGGAGAAGTCTTCCTTGAACCCACTCCCTTCCGCCTTCAGCCGCCGCGATGAGAAGCTAAGCACGGGTACACCCTGCCCCTCGTAGTCGTTCACGAGCACCACCCTGGCCATCAAGCAGGTGGCTGACAGCGACACCGCGGCCATGGTGGATGGCTGCATGCCGGCCCTCCCCGCCGCCCTCACAGCCGCGGCGCGCGCATCTTCCCTCGTCTCAGCCAGCGGATCGCTTGCGTTTTGGTAGGTCTCAGGCAAAATGCTGATTCTGTTGCCAACTTCCCCATCCTCACCAGCTCCGTCCTGGTAGATCTTCGAGTCACCAGCACCATCGGCATCAGCCTTTGATGCAGAAGCCGCCTTATCAGGAGCAGCAGTCGCTTGGTCCGCGATTCCCTTTATCAGCATCATATCTGTGTACGAAAGCCGGGCGTCGAAAGCCTCGGCCATCACGTGCAGTTTCGCCGAGAGCAGTGATCCCCGTGCGGACAAAAGCGTGGCGTGCGCTTCTGCGGAAAAGGGCTCTAGCACTTGGCTGATCCTCCTGTCGGCGCTCACGACGCCGCCGCTGGACACGGCAGGGTTGTCGACCAGAGACTCGGTCTTCAAGAGCGACAGGTGAAGCGTGTCTTCCGTGCTGTCCCCTCCTTCCCCCGAGGTGACCGAGCGCGTGAATAACGCCATCAAGCTTGCGCGGAGCACGACGACCTTGCTGCTCGCCTTAGAAGGCTCCTCGATGAGATTGATCCTCCAGTCGTCCAGCTCCAAACGCGCGCAAATCGTCAACGACAACGCCGCCACCTCCGACTCCTTTTCTCCCCGTGCCCGGCCTCCTCCCGTCTTATCAGCGTCACCGTGGTAGCCAGGGGAAATCTCTGTAGACGAGCTTAATCCAGGAGCTTTTCCCTCGTCCCGCTCCCTCGCTGAAGCACTGCTGTCTGCTGCTGCAGACGCGATCTGTTCCGAAAGGAAGGTGAGCATGCAAGGGTTTTTGCAAGTCTGTTGACCCACGGTGCTACTTCTTGCACGGCTCTCGCTGGCGTAGCATCAACTACCGTCGTTCTTTTTCGACCAAAAAATAGTCTTCAACCATCGCAACAGTAGATGGGGTGTGTCAAGGGTTTATTCTCGGAGACGACTGTCAAGCGTTTGTATTCACATCGTACCGACGTCCCGTTTCATACGCACCTCAGATTCGTACTCTCCTTCTTCGTCCACCGCATCAAGCGTCCACGTAGAATCTGGGCCGCTTGCGCCGCCCTCTAATGCTCCTCTCTCGCCAGCAGCATTCTCGTTGCCGTCGCTCTTCGCCTTTGTTGCAAACATTTTGATCAGGGCCGCATTAACCTCGTTCATCACCACCAGGGATTCCGTGATGGGCTCCACCATGAGGTTGCACGCGAAGCTCGCCAGTTTAACCTCCGCATCCATGTTCCCGCTGTCGCTGTCCATCTTCGCCGTTACAGCGATCAGGGGGCCTCTCTCGGCGCTATCCTCACCACCCTCGCCAACATCGGCCTCGGCCGAGCTAGATTTCTCGCTTCTTGCCCGTTTTCCGGGGCTGTCTCCGCTGTCGTCTCCCTCTTCATCCTGAGAAACCGTTGCCGCTGATTCTGTCGGCAGCGCTACCAAGGGTGCAAGAATCATCTTGTATGCGTTGTCCTTCGCTTCAGGGCGGACGTCCGTGAGAAGGATGTCGGTGAGGGTCACCGCTGCGTTCATAGCGCGCCCCCCTTCCTCGTTGGCACTGAAGCTCGCGTCCAGGCCCGAGATACCCGCCCGCATCACGGTCTCCCAGGGGTTCGATCGCACGAGCTCGAATTGGACTGAGGTGAGCGAAGCCTTGGCGAGCATGGCCTTCTGCCCGGAGTCTTTCGACGCGATGCGCTTGGCCACGCCGACGACCCGAGAGCCAGCCGACAAGACAGAGCGGGCGTCGTCTATCCGGCTCTTCGGCTTCTTGGAACGCCTGCCACCACCACCGCCCGTCGTCCCCGCCGCAACTGCCTGGTCTTGGTCCCTGTCCTGCCTCGTCACCGACTTGTAGAACGGGGTGGCCTTGACGACAGATTCCCTGTCGAGTGCCATCTACAGAGACGATTTGAGTTTGACGCGCGCAAAGAAACAAATAAGAAAAAATCATCCCCAGATACATAATGGCAGCATACGGTAGTGGCACCGGTAAATACTCTACGATACCCCAAGTGATTAGACGAAGTGTGATACTGCAGGCATACCGCGCTGGGTCCAACCCCGAAAATATCAGGGTACACCTCGGTACTAGTTTTTTAGGCGGATTCAGGCGGGGCGGTACTTCAATGTGGCGGTACTTTCTTGGCGGTAGGCGGTATTTCGTTTTCCGGCGGTACCGCCTTTGGCGGTTCCCGGTACTGCCAATTGTGGCGGTACTTTTCTGGCGGTACTGCAATATGGCGGTTTCTTTTTAGGCGGTTCTCGGTACTTCGTTTTTTGGCGGTACTTCTTCGGCGGTACTGCAATATGGCGGTACTTTTTAGGCGGTAGGCGTTATTTCCAGGGTACACCTCGGAAAAATTCCCGCCGTTTTCTTCCCGCCGTGGTGGGCGGTCCCGGTACTGGCGGTAATTACCGCCACATTCGGTGGTACCGGGAACCACCGAAGGCGGTACCGCCGAAAAGCGAAATACCGCCTACCGCCTAAAAAGTACCGCCATATTGCGGTACCGCCGAAGAGTACCACCAAAAAACGAAGTGTACCGGGACCCGCCTAAAAAGAACCGGCATAATGCAGTACCGCCGAAAAAGTACCGCCGTACTGCAGTACCGCCAAAATAGTACCTCCATACTACAGTACCGCCGTAGAAGTACCGCCATACTACAACAGTACCGCCGTAAAAGTACCGCCATGTCGCACGAGCCTGTGAGGTTGTCGCACCTGGGAGAGAAGTAGGCTAGGAAGGGTGTACGAAGGGCGATTTTCCGTGTAGAACAGCGGTTCGAGTCCAGCTGGCCTGCATCTTCATTCATCTTTTTTTTTTTTTTTCTTACTATGACACACTAAATCAATCTCTATCTACAGAAAAAAGTCTAAGATAGATTAGCGATGAATCCATAGCGTCAGCGAAGGGCTATCTGTGTGTCTACGATTTCCCGAACAGCACACATTTTTTCTTTTTTCTCTTTGTCATATTTTTATACTCTTTGATTTTTTTTATTATTTTTTTTTTTCAGGGTACACCTCGGGAAAATTTCCGCCATTTTTTTCCCGCCGTGGTGGTGGGCGGTCCCGGTACTGGCGGTAATTACCGCCACATTCGGTGGTACCGCCGAAAAACGAAATACCGCCTACCGCCTAAAAAGTACCGCCATATTGCAGTACCGCCGAAGAAGTACCGCCAAAAAACGAAGTACCGGGAACCGCCTAAAAAGAACCGCCATATTGCAGTACCGCCAGAAAAGTACCGCCACAATTGGCAGTACCGGGAACCGCCAAAGGCGGTACCGCCGGAAAACGAAATACCGCCTACCGCCAAGAAAGTACCGCCACATTGAAACCGCCCCGCCTGAATCCGCCTAAAAAACTAGT